GAATGTGAAATTAAAACCGCCAGTAGGTGGCAGCAAGTCACTGTTAATAAGTGAGTCAATGCGATTGAACCGAATCATTTAAACGATTGATTCATTCAGGAACAAAACCGCGTCATGTTACTCAGAGACGCAAAACAGCGCTGTGGTTATGTTTGGAGTTATTTTCTTTAAAAAAGCATCATATGACCCCTTTAACAAATTGCAGTTCACCGTATGCAAAAATAATAGAAACAATCATTAGTATTCATTAGACAGCAATCTGATTAAATAATGAGTCAAGAAGTTGATGTTATAAATCACAGCTGCGATTACAGTACTTTTGTCACACTCTAAATTGAAGGTCCAGTGTAATGCATTTAATTATGGGATACAGTTTCGTGCTCTATACTATACTGCTCATTATGCTAATTGTAGCATGTCATTCGGTTGTTCTATGCATATATAAAATCTGCATATCATGCATGCTATGCAACGCTAGAACGAGCAGTATGTTATTCCAAACATACCCTATGGTGCCATTTATTCTTTTTCTTGTCTTTCTGTCGTCCCTGCAGCTGCAGGATATGAGAGGAGAGTCTGCAGGCGCAGGCGCAGATGAAGGTGCAGTTGCTTCAGATGTGTTACAGCAGGAGCGGGAGGAACAGCGCTGTCTGCTGGCCGACAGTCACAGCACAGCACTGGAGCTGCGCTGGAAACTGCAGCACGGAGAAAAGTGCTGGACCCACGAGCGGAATGAACTACTGGAGCGGTTCGAGAAAGAGAGGCAGGAGTGGGACCGCAGCTTACGGGAAATGTACCGCAAAATGGAAAAGGTCCGTGGTGTAATTCCTTCTTATTTCACTCATACACATCACTCAGTACATGGTAGACGAGACATGTAAGTGTGTTCAGTGCTGGAAGGTATTAGTATTAAGCTTAATTAAATATGGCAATAATCAAGTCACCTATATTTCTATAGCGTTTAATACAATACAGATTGTGTCAAAGCAGCTTCACAGAGATAAACAGGAAAATAGCGGAATCAATCATGGAAACTCATTATTTCTTTGTGCTTCGTTGTTTGAGCAGCATGTTAACATAATCATCATGATATAATCCACTGTATTCAGCATCTCAGAGCAGCTTAGTTTATAGTAAATGCATAAAACTCTGCTTGCGCTGAGAGTTTAACATGCATTTGGTAATGCAACATGCACTAGGTTCACTTTATTTACACATTTTCAACAATTTTGTGGACAGAAGTTGCAGCATTTCAGCAGCATTACAGCAAAGGTTGAGGATTTGAAATGTTTAAAGCTTGAGGGTTTAAATATTTGAAAGTAAAGAAATTAAGAAAAAAAAAATTGTATTTTAACTTAATTAAATATTGATTTTTTTTTTATTGTGTTTATTGTAATTTACAACAGTAATATATTTATGTATTGATTTCTAATAATTAGAGTTAAATATAATAATATAATTAGAACTAAAATTATTATTATTATTATTATTATTACGTTTGATTGGGCTCCAGTTACAATGTCAAAATAAAACTTTTTAATAAAAGATTAAATATTTTATCTATTTGTATGCATGTCATGTGACCATTAACCAACATCAGAGAACCATGAACATGGAAATGTGTTGTTGAATTATAGAAATATTAATTTATAATCTCAGGAGAGACTTCAAGTAAATGTTTTATGTCTAAGGGGTTAAGCCAGCCAAAAAACCCTGCCTTAGAAGATAGTTGCCTATGTGGACAGTTGGCAGAAAGACAGCTTACTAGGTCTTGAAACAAAGCCAATATCTTCTCTTCTCCATCCCAGATGCAGAAAGATGTTCTCCAGCCAGAAGGAGGCACAGCGCATGTCTTCTCTCCTCAGGAGAGCCCCTGTAAGGCTCCTAGATCTCCACGCTCCCCCTGCACAGCCGCACACACGCATTCCCACTCCGACTCGGAGGCCACACTGGAGGAGAAGGGGGCGACGGGCAGACCCAGACCCTTTGAGGGACACCGGCCCCCAGAGAGCCTGTTCCTGGACGCCCTCTCTCTGGATCCTCTGAGCGAAGCCGAGGTGCCTCCTCCATCACGTCTGGAGAGCGAAAAGCGGTTCCCCCACATGAAGGAAGTAAGAGAGAGAGTAAGACATCAGTAAACACTGCACGATGGGGCTTATGTCATATCATGGTTTTTTTTTTTTTTATAAATGAGGTCCACTTATAATGTTGTTGTTTTTTTGTTAGCTTTTTTTTTTGCCACCAAAAGATTTTTTTTTTTTTCATGGTCATTATCCTCTCTCTGACCCTTATTATTAAACAGGCTGTTTTTGCTGCTGTAAAAGAGTTCTATATGTAAATTACCTCTTTTATGATTGGCTAACATCTTTGCATGTGAAATGAGGAAGAATTATTACATGGCAAAACTATCTGCACTCAAATATACTGCATATATTTTTAAAGCAAGTTAACAATTTGTGGCTTTTATGTTTTAACTGTGTTGTTGTTTCAGGCACTGAATGAGATTTCTGAGAGTGTGGATCCTGCCATTTACCCTGAGGAAGAGAAGAGTGGTGGCAGCCTACTCAGGTATGGTTTTTTTTTTTCAAGTATGTGTGTGTTTATGAGTATGTGTGGGCTAGTCTAAGTGAGTAAAGTGACTTTGTTCTTCTCTTAGGAACCTAAAATTCCTCTGAAGAATAGCAAAGCTTGACAAAACTTGAAAACAGCTACATAAATGGATATGCTTAGACTGTGCTGTTGTTGTCATTTCGGCAACATCTCAGGAGAATTGTGAATGGAAAGGAATGGTTTAATCTTAGTAGGCCAGAGATTAAATGTGCCAGCAACAAAGTAAAGATAACTTCATCAGTGCACGTGTATTGTTCTAATAAAGATACTTATCCTAATTGGCTGACACATTAAACCCAGCGCGCTGCCTATCTATAGAGTGCTTTAAAGTATCATCGGCATGCTCCTGATGGAGTTATTCCTATGTTCGTAGGGTTCTATGTTCCCCAGTTACCAGACTTCCATGTTCTTGAGGGTTCTATGTTCCCCAGTTCCTAGCGTCCCATGTTTCTAGGGTCCTATGTCCCCAGTTCCCAAGATCTCCTGTTCCCAAGCTCTTACGTTCTTAGGGTTCTGTGTTCCCCAGTTTCCAGACTTCCATTTTCTTAAGGTTCTATGTTCCTTAGTTTCCAGACTTCCATGTTCTTAGGGTTCTATGTTCCCCAGTTCTTAACGTCCCATGTTCCTAGGGTCCTGTGTCCCCAGTTCCCAAGGTCCCCTGTTCCCATGCTCCCACGTTCTTAGGGTTCTATGTTCCCCTGTTCCCAGGATCCATTGTTCCCGAGGTTCTATGTTCCCTAGTTTTTAGGGTCCCATGTTCTCAAGGTTAGGGGAGCATAGTGTTAACTCTGAGAACATACGGTAGATGCGCTCCCCTTGAGACACAAAGGCTATTCCAAGAAGTAAACAGCGACATTGTGCTGCTTTATAATATACTTTCTGTGAGCATTGCGTCTATCGTTGGTTACAATGTTTAGCAACACCAATGTAACTTTTCATCCATTTTTACCTCCACAGGGCGAAGTCAGTCTGCTCCATGAGTGACTTCCAGCGTTTGATGGACAGCTCCCCCTTCCTGCCAGATAAGAGCAAGCCTGGCGAGCATGAGCGGGATGATGTGACTCCTCCCCTTTCACCAGATGACCTCAAATACATTGAGGAGTTTAATAGTAAGGGTTGGGATCTGCCCACCAGTTCCCTGGCCGCTTGCCCCATTCCTGGCCCAGTAATCCCCTCTCCAGTGATGGAGGCCTGGGCAGAGAGGGCAGAATCCCGAAGGGCCGAGTCTACTTCAGAAGCATTCCAGCCAGCCTCCTGGTACCTGACCACCAGCACTACCTTGACCACCAACACCATGAGTATCCCTGAGTACTGCCAAAAGCTCCCACTCAGGGCAGCCCAGGGGGGTGAACAGTTTGGGGTGCAGGTCCTCCACAGTCCCGTTCGAGGGGAGCGGTCAGCTCCAGGCCCCCCTGAGCAGGAATACATGTTCTCCAAAGTGACCAAAGTAAAGGCAGGGGAGGTAGTAGGCGATGCTGAGGAGGTGTTTGGAGAAAGGTGGCCATGTGAGCTAAGGAGTAATTTGGAGGCAGGACTTAGGCCTGGAGAACATCCATCGATTTGCGCTGCTGTCGGGTATACCTCGTCATTAGAGCTGGAGCTGGCACGGAATCTGAGTGATGACATGAAGGAAAAGGCGTTTTCTGCTCGGAATGCCGTCCGATCATCTTCTGCATCCGGATCCAGCCCTCCGGAAAGGCAGCTACGGGACATGGCATGTCAGACGAATGGTTTAACCACACAGGGAACACAGACCACCCAGACCATCAGCGTGGGATTGCAAACAGAGGCTCTTCGCACCCTCACAAGCAGCCCTCACCGCTGTCTAACGCCCAAAGGAGGCTCCACGCCCATCTCATCTCCTTCACGTAGCCTGAGAAAGATGCAGTACTCTCCAGTCGTACAAGCCAAGTTTGAACGCCCATGCTGTTCGCCGAAATATGGCTCACCTAAGCTCCAACGGAAACCTTCTAATTCTGGCAAAGCAGAACAACCTGTTGGCCAAACCCGTGCTCCCACCCCAACAACCACTGCTCAGCAGCAAAAAGGGAACAACGAATCCGCTTGGGCCCGTTCCACTACGACCAGAGACAGTCCCGTTCACACCACCATCAACGACGGCCTCTCCAGCCTCTTCAACATCATCGACCACACGCCCATCGCATACGACCCCATTCAGAAATTCAACAAGTCCCCTAGCCGCTCTCGTCCCACTGAAGCAGGGCCTCAAGAGCCAACGGACCCCAAATCTCCCAGTGTTTGTGCTGCACAGGGGCCTGTGAGGAACTCTCGGGGCCGGTCCCCAAGCCCTGTGCAGCTGATTGTAGAGACGCAAGGCGAGAAAACTCCAGAGGTGATTAGCATCAGACAGGACCTGTCCGCTCCTCCAGGCTACACTCTAGCTGAGAATGCAGCACGGATCTTGAATAAGAAACTACTGGAGCAGAGCTTCAGAGAAGAAAGGAGGCTTTCCGCTTCATTCGCAGCTTCTCCAAACAAAACCGGAGACACAGAGAAACCAGGATGTCTTGAGGTAACTGAGAGGTTTATTTTATTCTACCTAAAGGAAGAACACTATATGCTCTTTTATAGCTTAGGAGAATGAGTTAACTTGAAAAATTTACCTTACTTTCTTAATAGTTGTTCCTGTTTGTCCTTGTAATTTGTCATCAAAATGAAGATTTTGTTATAAATTCTAACTTTTGATTTCAGACTTTAGTGTCTTGGCAATTCTGAGCACAGTTTGAGACATTGTTGAGATCTCTTCTGAAACTCTAGAGAAGACCCGTATAAGATTACTGGGGTCTTTTTCTAGCAGGAGGCCTAAGCAAATGTCTTCATTCGGTCTAATCTCATTGCTGTCTAGTAGACACAAATGAATTATTGAGATCTCATTTGTGACTTTGTTATTTCCTGCGGGTGCATGCACACTTAGTTTGTCTCGTGTTTTTAGTGTAGATTGTATATTACGGTATAAATTTGGCTGCTTGTTAAATGTTTTGGTACTTGACCAATGCAGTTTCAAGGTACAAAATTGTTATAATAAAGTATCAAAAAGTCACATTCCCAGCTGCCAAACGTTGCCTGAGCGCAGGCCTTATACATCTGAGCTGCCTGCTATAGCGCGCTGCTTTGTTGCAATGCTAACAGTAGTATAATCACATGCTGCTTGTTTTTTTTTTTATTTTGCAGTGGAACTAGCTTTCATAATTACTTTGGATGCAAGATGTTCTAATTCACCATAATAAAGTTGCATCCAGTGTTTGATGCCTGTCAACCTCTATCCATTTGGACGATTAATCCTTCACATGAAAGCATGAGACATTTGTCAACAGACAAATCAGCATTTACTGTAGGAGCGGCATCATTGCACAATCCCATGATGCTATGTTAATGGTCAAAGACACATTTGCAAATATTTTAACATCATTAAAGGCAGATGGTTCTTCGTGAGCAGTGTATGTATCTGGGATTTGTGTTTTGAACGTAATGGATATTACAAGGCATGAATGCATGCAGTACAACAGAAGAAAGGGATGAATTCACTAAACAGTTGTGCCAGTTTAGCCCACAGTGTTTCAAGTTGGCGTTGTTACAAAGTTTTATATTGGAAATGAGATGTTTTTGTACATTTTTTAATTGATTATTTCTGTTGTTTGAGACAGTCATCTTGCTGAATAAATCTGAATATCAAGGCTATTAGGAAAAGTATGGATATATTCTGAGTGTACACAAGTAAAAACATCTGTGTCATAGAGTGCATGTATCAATGTATGAGGGCGAATCTCACCAAAACATGTCCAGGTGTATTGTATTGTATTGTATTATTATATTATATTATATTATTGCACTATATTAAGGATAATTGGGCAAAATTTAAAAACAGAATACAATTTTAATATATTACAATTATGATATTAAAAATATATTATATTTTTTATTTATTTTGGAGGAGAAATATGACTTGGACAGGTTTTGTCACCAAACTTCTATATCATGCTAAAATGTTTAAATTTAAAGGACAGTGAGCTGCTTTTACAGGTTTTACCGTAGACGCCCTGCGACCCGGCCAGACTTGCCAGATCCCCGCTGTAGCTCTAACCTGAGTCTGATGTGGTTGTGTAATTTTGACCAGTGTGTTTACTCCTGTTTTTCTGGGTTGTCTCCAGAACCATACTGTCTTACTAACTGCACCCTGGGGACTGTAACGCAGCTTGCGCTCGCCGTGCAGTAAGTTCCACCGATCTTACTTGGCCTTTGACCTCACAGTGACCTCACTTGTGTTCCGTCTGACTGATTTTAATAGATTTCTCTCACCGCATGCCACACAGTTTGTAAGACACCGTATCACCGCTAGGCATTGTGGGAAATATTGTGTGTGCTTTGTTGTGGTCACACTTTCTTTGTCCTCATGTAGGTATGAGCATGCCCATCGTCTGATATTAATGACATCACCAATAAACAGTCATCCAAAAAGCCAAAATTATCCCAAACATTCATTCACATGGGGTGGGATTTCATAAGGCAAAACACAAGAAACTTTGGCTGATATATAGTGGCTCAAATTTATTGACCTATTTTAAAGATAAATAGCACATGCAAACTATTCAAGTGCAACATGTCCCAAACAGACATTTTAAAAGATAAAACTATAAACTAGTGTTTAAAATGAAAACAAAAAGTATTTGGACACTTTTTAAAGTGACTTAAAGCGATAGTTCATCCAAAAATGAAAATTGTCATCATTTACTCTGTTTCTTTCTTTCATTTGAGTTTCTTCTGCTACACAAGATATTTTGAAGAATGTTGCTAACCAAACATTTGATGGTAGCTATTGACTTCCATAGTATTTTTTTTCCATACAATGGAAGTCAATGGCTACCGTCAACTGTTTGGTCGCCAACATTCTTCAAAATATCTTCTTTTGTGTTCAATAGAATAAAGAAATTCATACAGGTTTGGAACAACTTGAGGGTGAGTAAATGACTGAATTTTCATTTTTGGGTGAACTGTCCCTTTAAGTGTACAAATACCTTTGGAGTCACTGTATCAAACTCACAAGTGGCTTTTTGGATGGTGTAACCATTTTGACTATATAATCACCTTTTTTTTTTTTTTTTTCTTAGGTACGTGTTTGTGTGTTTGTAATTGTATTATTTTTGTCCATTTTAAAGGGTCTTAACCTCACCAGCCCTACTAATGGAAACTACAGCGTAACATCTCGTGCTTTCTCAGTTCACTGTACTGTAATGTTTGCTGTCTGGTGTTGACAGGATGTGAGCGGCGCTCAACATTACTGCATGCTAGCGGTGATAGTGGTGTGTTGGGGTCGTTTGGGGTTCACTGGCTGGTGTTGGTGTTGGCTGTGCCTTTGCTACAGCATTTAACATCTGCTGCTAATGCTGGGTCTCATTTCTTAACATCTAACAGCAACTTTACGCTCGTTCAAAGCTTGCAATTATACTGTGTTTCAGGTTAATTGTTATAGATTTGTGATGCATTTCATACAGTGATATTTATATTATTTTAATATATTTTCAGTAATTTTTTGTGCTTTTGTCATTTTTATTAGTTTTTTTTATTTATTTATTTTTAGCTTTCATTTATTTTTATTTCGGTTGTAATATTTTTAGTACTTCAACTTCGAACTTAATTTATTTCATTTAGTTGCCAAGGAAACATTTCTAATTTTCTTATTTTTTTAAGTTTAAGTTTTAAGTTAATTTTATTTCAGCCTTATTTAAATGAATGATTAACAAGATGAGAAATCATTAGTTTTAGTTAATAATAACAACACTGGTTTCATGTTGGTTATGATGTCACTGGAGTGCAGAAACATTCAGGTTGTTATTTATTTATTAATTTTTTGCCTCAGTTGAACCGCAGGACTCCATTTAAATTCACTTTGTATCAGCTTCAAAGTCTCACTCAAAAACCGAACGCAGATTCAAGACGTAGTAAATCCCTGTTTCTGAATTATTCAAAGAACAGAAAATATCCACCTCTCATGCTGGAATCTCATTCATTTTTAATTAGAACTGTTTAAAATGAATCAAGCTGAAACCACGGTTTTCCTCAAAAGTCAGAAACAAACTGAGTGTTATTCTTTACTATTTGCTACAGACAGTATGAAATGGATGTTAATCCATTTTAGTTCAAAGTTTAAACTGTAAAAGCACTAATGCTTGCAGACCAGTGTTAGTCACAGAATACTTGAAGCTCACCCACAAAAGTTGCACAGAATTCCTTCAAGTCAATATCTCTCAACCACTGGCAAACTTGGACAGAAGTCCAACATTCTATATAGCACCTCAACCACCCCGAAGAACCACTGAAGAACCGCTGAAAAACCAAAAAGTTTTTGTACAGGTTTTATGGTAATGGTGCTATATAGCACCTCATCGACGCCAAAGAACCGCTGAAGAACCGCTGAAGAACCGCTGAAGAACCATACAGGGGCTTAACAGGTTCTTTACACGGTAGTGGTGCTATATAGCACCTCATCGATGCCAAAGAACCGCTGAAGAACCGCTGAAGAACCATACAGGGGCTTAACAGGTTCTTTACACGGTAGTGGTGCTATATAGCACCTTAACCACTCCAAAGAACCGCTGAAGAACCTTTTTTTTTTAGAGTGTACTATTATAGTATTTATTAATATTTAAGCTTTGCAATTAATGTTTATTTTTATATTTTGAGTTTTCATTTTAATTTTAGTTTGTTTTAGTAATTTTGTTGTGTTCTTTTGCCATTTTTATTAGTTTTAGTTTTTATTTCTGTTTAGCTTACATTTATTTTTATGTCAGTTTTACTCATTTTAGTACTTTTTTCAGTTAGTTGCAAAGGCAAGGCACTAACTAACATTTCTAATTTAAGTTTCTTATTTTCATTACTTTTTTATTTTATTTTAGCTTTATTGCAGTGAACAAAAAATGGTTTTAGTTTTTAATTTATATTTAGCTTTAATATAATCTTTATTTCAGTTTTATTTATTTTAGTACTTCAACTTATTTTATTTCAGTTAGTTGCAAAGGCAACATTTCTAATTGAAATTTCAAATTTCAAATTTTTCATTTAATATTTATATTTTATTTCAGCTTTATTTCAAATAATGAAAGCATTTTTTATTTTTTTTATTTTTTTTTATCCAGCTTTGATTTATTTTTATTTCAGTTTTAGTAGTCTTAATAATTTTTGTACTTCAACCTGAACTTAATGAAATTTCTATTTTCATTCTAGTTTTTTTTTTAATCTAATATTTTATTTTATTTCTGCTTTATTTCAGTTAACGATAACACCACTGTTGCAGACTTACCACCGACTAACAGATAAACTGTTTTCTTCCTTGACACAGGACTTGCCTCGTTCGCCAGTGGCTCCACCTCTGGACTCCTGCTTCCTGCGTCCGGCTCGTCCCGCCAACCGCCGTCCTCCGTCCCGCTGGGCCGCCCACTCGCCCTCATCCTCGCCCAACTACAAAGACCGATCGGAGATGTTCCGCTTCCCCTCGCCCGTCAGACCGGTTCAGACCATCCCGGAGATAGAGGAGCCCGGTCAGGAGGTTTTCCCTTAACCAGCCTAGACTACATCCTTCTGTGCTTTCTGTCACCTTGAGTTCAGTCAGCAACCTGTTTATCTCAACCTCAAGTATGATTTTAAAATTTCACTTCTGAAATGCCCCGAAAAAGGGAAGTGTGGTGATAAATCAGGATTGTATTTACGCTTTCACTCTCCTTAACCATCTCCCATTCCTGACCACACACGTACTACGCACACCGTCGGAGCGACGGAACCATCGAGAACCTTTCTAAAAAACATTTAACTGCCCTGCCACTAGAGGGCAGAGTTCTGTGAGCACCAGCTGAACTGATCCAATAGGAAACAGTTCCAGAAATTCCGTTTCGGAATTATCAAGGACCTGGAATGTACTGATGCAAAACACCGCAAAGTGTTCCATAAGAGGTGCCTACACACGCATGACCTCGCGACGGTCCCGTACCCGTGTGTGTCCGTGTACAATGTATGCAATACATACCACTCGATATGTGTTGGTCATTAAGCCGCAAACTTCTTTTCAGATGTTCTGAAAAATATAACTGGATAGTAATAACATTTGTCGGATCAGCATAAAAGTTTACATGTGTTGATTTATATTCATTTTGGAGGGGTGAAAATCATTTGTTAAATGATGTTCTGTGTATATAGTTTATAAAGCTATTTTCTTAATTTCTGCGTACATCCCGTTTCGTTGGAAACCTTTGATGCTTGAATTAAAAAGTTGTATTTGTAAAGAGAATTAGATCAAAACTAAAGGAGAAAACGCACACACACACACTCTCTAGTTCGACAGGGACGAATGATACATGATGTCAATCATAATGTATTTAAAACCCAATGTAAAACTGAATGTTCGACTCTGTACATGATGACAGGAGAGTATATTGACACTGATTATCCTTATGCACATTTCCCAAGTCACAAAATCCTGAAGGAATATGTGCAGGATTCCAGTTGGAAGTTTACGTCATGTTTTGAAACCAGTTGTAAAAGAGTTTATGAACTGTAACAACATGTAAATCTGCTCTGGCTGAAACATGCTGCAAAAACAAAGAAGAAAAATAAATATAAAACTCAACATGTTTCCCTCAGATCTAAGATTTAAATGCATGAATATTTATTAAGCCATCCATTGAGGCAGTCTATGATTGGTTGTTGGTTGCTTAGCAACTCATTTGTAACATTCTAACACTGCATTGTTTCATACTGTAGAAGTTTGGCAGCAAATTGTGACCCACATCCGATAATGGTTCAAAGTGATGCAAACCTATTTTCAAAATTAGAAGTGTGCAAAGCTGCTCGAACCAGGGTCAAAATGAACCCTAAAGGAATAGTTCACCCGGAAATGAACATTTGCTGACAATGTACTATGTAGATGTTTTTTCATCAGAACTGATTTGGAGAAATGTAGCATTCCATCACTTGCTCACCAATGGATCCACTGCAGTGAATGGGTGCCGTCAGAATGAGAGTCCAAACATCTGATAAAAACATCACAAAAACAAATCCATCATTAAGACTTTTTCACTGGAGTATGGAGTATAGTATTTCGGCCAGAAGTGACTATTTAAAGTTAAAACATCTTAATGATGGATTTGTTTCTTACAAACACACAGCTTTTGGCTTCTCGCGTCATTAATTGACGGACTGGAGTGGTGTGGATTATTGTGGTGCTTTTATCAGCTGTTTAGACTCTCATTCTGACGGCACCCATTCACTGCAGAGGATCCATTGCTGAGACAGTGATGCAATGCTACATTTCTCCAAATCTATTTCCATGAAAAAAACAAACTCATCTACATCTTGAATGACCTCAGCAAATTTGCATTTTTGGGTGAACTATTTCTTTTGGATTGGATAGTATCCGATAGTTTAGGATTGGTTCCAAATTGTGAGATCTATTCCACTATAGAATCCAGTGCAGGTTTCTTCTGGATGTATTGACTAGGATTTGGACAGCAGTTGTGCAGATATCATATTTGATATGCATGCCTTTAAACACTAGCACTTTAGTGCATGTACTCAGACGCTGTTGTACCTTGTGATAAAGCTCTTGATGTAAGCCCACACACACACACACACACACACACACACACACTGCTGTTCACTGCGTGTGGCGGCTCATGTCATTTTTGTTGCCATTGAATTTGCATTGACACAATTGAGAACACTTTTTAAGCCCATTATTGTACCTATTAACTGGTCTTTGTATAGATGCTATTATGAATTCAGATCTTTCTTTGGAGGAAAAAGAAAAAATGATGAATGTTTTAAATGAAGTCACTGTCAGATGTCTAATGAGTGTTAAATTGGTAATAAATTGAATGTGTATTTACAAGAAAAAGTTGTCCGTGGATTTTTTTTTAAAGAAATTAATACTTTAATTCAGCAAGGATGCATTAAATAGTGCATTAAATAAAGTGACAGTAAAGACATTTATAATGTTGCAAAAGATTTCAAAAATGCTGTTCTTTTGAACTTTCTATTCATCAAAGAATTCTGGGGGGAAAGGGTTTCCACAGAAATATGAATCAGCACAACTGTTTCCAACATTGATAATAATCAGAAATGTTTCTTGAGCATCAAATCAGCATATTAGAATGATTTCTGAAGATCATGTGACACTGAAGACTGGAGTAATGATGCTGAAAATTCAGCTTTGATCACAGGAATAAATTACATTTTACATTATATTCACATAGAAAACAGTTATTTTAAATTGTAATAATATTTCACAATATTACTGTTTTTACTGTCTTTTTGATCAAATAAATGCAGCCTTAGTGAATAGAATCGACTTCTTTCAAACCCATAAAAAAGGAGATTTCCCAGGACTCTCAAATCCTTTCATTTCAGTGTAACACACAGTGTTGAGTGTGAGTTTGTGCAGTTGAGATTAAAGCGGCGAGTGCTGCATCATCATAAACTCAGAGACTCAGAGGAGGATCACATCAGGCACTGAGGGGAAGGTCATAGACTGTATTATGTTACTCTAACAGCACCTGGGAGATAAATGAGGCTTTTAAATGTTACATAATCACTGCATCTGGACATCAGGTTCTGCTGATACAAGAAAACACAAAGGTGACATTTATAAGGACTTTTAGGTCCTTTTAAAGGAGTAGTTCACACAAAAATAAAAAATTAGCTGAAAATTCACTCACCCTCAGGCCATCCAAGATGTAGATGAGTTTGTTCCTTCATCAGATTTGGAGAAATGTAGCATCGCATCACTTGCTCAGCAATGGATCATCTGCAGTGAATGGGTGCCGTCAGAATGAGAGTCCAAACAGCTGATAAAAACATCACAATAATCCACACCACTCCAGTCCATCAGTTAATGTCTTGTGAAGCGAAAAGCTGCATGTTTGTAAGAAACAAATCCATCAAGACATTTTTAACTTCAAACCGTTGCTTCCAGTTAAAATGGGAGTCATCCATTTGCTGCATTGTCACTGGAAATGGATTTGAGATCTCGTTTGAGTCTGTGCTCGACTCTTGGGTCCTGATAAGATAATTACTGTGATGTCTGTTGATCTAATTGTCCCATCCATGTGTTTCAGACCCGCTGTACACCTTTGTGTTTGGACTTTCACTGCTGCTTCAGCTAATCTAGATGTAGATGAGTTTGTTTCTTCATCAGATTTGGAGAAATGTAGCATCGCATCACTTGCTCAGCAATGGATCATCTGCAGTGAATGGGTGCCGTCAGAATGAGAGTCCAAACAGCTGATAAAAACATCACAATAATCCACACCACTCCAGTCCATCAGTTAATGTCTTGTGAAGCGAAAAGCTGCATGTTTGTAAGAAACAAATCCATCAAGACATTTTTAACTTCAAACCGTTGCTTCCAGTTAAAATGGGAGTCATCCATTTGCTGCATTGTCACTGGAAATGGATTTGAGATCTCGTTTGAGTCTGTGCTCGACTCTTGGGTCCTGATAAGATAATTACTGTGATGTCTGTTGATCTAATTGTCCCATCCATGTGTTTCAGACCCGCTGTACACCTTTGTGTTTGGACTTTCACTGCTGCTTCAGCTAATCTTCTTCATCATGTTAATGGGTTTCCACGTCTGATCTTGCACAACCGTGAACATCTCTGTCCTCCTAAACATTAATCCAATCTGTGTGGATGAGAACCTGTAATCAAATAAGTGTTCAGATCTGTGGAGCTCTGAACCGTGAGTCTGACTGCAGAAGTCTGAACCTCATGAGTGCAGCTGTCAATCAATTATCTATCCATCCATCCATCTATCTATGCGTCTGTCTGGCCGTCACTTTCTGTTGTTCTTTCTGTCTTTGCTTTCCATTAATTTCTCTTTCTTTCATCTTCTTTCTCTCTATCCACAAATATTGACAGAACTTTGAATCATTTTACAACTGTAATTCAACTGGACACAGTATAACAGAGTGAAAGACAGTGTTTGTTCTCCCAGCAGAAGGTGAAGAGCCTGCGACAGCAGATCTGGAGCCAGAAGACTTGAGTCTTGCAAGACGGTGTGCATTTGAGTGTGTGTGTGAGAGGCAGTGGGCACAGTCATTGTCGGGCTGCTAAACCTTTGCACGCTCTTGTTAAGATGAAGGGTCTTGCCAAGATGACTGTTGTCATGGTAACAGCACCACTGCAGCCCAATGTGAAGTCATGATATTCTGATGCAGCATTTCTCTCATCTTGCATCTGTTTGTACAGTCATGTCAACTTTTTTTTTTTTATATATATTTGTCCATATAAACAAATATCAGACACAATAAAAGCAAAATTCATTTAAATCCATGTTTCAGTGGAAAGCCTATCACACCAGAGCATCAAGAAAATGTCTGTGATAAATCCTGGTATAAACACATTACATAACAGTTCAATATAACAACTATATAACACTAACGTTGTTACGATGTAAAACCCTTAAGAAAATGCTTCTTATTTATAAATCTTATTTAAATCGTATGATTTTTTTAAGCTCTTTTAATATTACGCTGTTTCATGGGAGCATCTGTTGTGGTGAAGCTTAAACCGGAAGAAAAAGGAGATGATCCGATCAGAGCTTGAAAAAATGATATTTTGATAAAGAACATAGACATAATCTTCCAGTGCCTGCAAGCATATCAGGAAGATT